GGAGGAGAGAGATGCCCAAGGATCCCAGGATAGAGGGGCAGATAGTCCGAGGCCTTCTGAATGGAGGCGCTCCTGCTCTGCTCCTGGCCTCGGCCTCCCATGCTGGGAGGGGAGGTGCAGTTTAGGTGGGGTGGAGTTGGACTCTAAGGAGGGTACCCCTATCTCCCCAGAGTCCTGGACCCCAAACAGAGTGGCCAAGATTAGGTTGGTGGTGCGATAAATGTAGTTTGTTGACTAGAAGTTGGGGCATCCTAGGCAGGGAATGGGAGGAGGATGGCAGCGGGGAGGCCGGAGAAGAGGGGGACAACAAAGGCTGAGGCTTTAGGCTTGGGAAGGAGCCCCTTCAGCTCTGATTGCAGGCTCAGCCCTGCCCAGAAGCCCCCCGGCTCAGGCCCATCCTAGGCTGCTCAGGGCCCACACGCGGAGTGCCTTGGAGTGACCTGGGTGCCGATGATGTTCCCAGGACCTAAGCTGCTAGGCGCCTACATATGCAAATTAACTGCCGTCTTTGTTGGTTAATTTGCATAGTTGCTCTGATTGGCTGGTGGGTGTAGTGGTGTGACATCAATTTGCATGTTTGTCTATTCTTAGGTAAGATGGGATTTTTAAATAGTTAACGTACATAAAATCTTTAATTGACTTTTAGCTTTTTCATTGTAACGTTTTCATTTTTATTCTTCCTTTAGTTTTCATTTTGTGCACACTTTACAGTGTTTTTGTTGTAATAGTGTGTGTGTGTGTGTATCTATATATGTGTATATATATTTATATTTATATATATACATATATATATGTATGTATGTATATAAATTTTTTCTTTTTTTTTTTTTACAGAGAGGAAGGGAGAGGGAGAGAGAGTTAAAACATTGATGAGAGAGAAACATCGATCAGCTGCCTCCTGCACACTCCCAATTGTGGATGTGCCTGCTACCAAGGTACATGCCCTTGACCAGAATCGAGCCTGGGCCCTTCAGCTCACAGACTGACGCCCTTTCCACTGAGCCAAACCAATTAGGGCTGTAATAGTATATTTTTGTGTGCACCTAAACCTTATTGTTGTTACTGAGCTAGTCATAAAATTACAGAAAAGTAGGAAATGCAATACAACAAATTTTTCTTCCTTAAATCAAAGGAGAATAATTTGTTTCTTTGCTATTCTCTCATCCCCCACAATGTTCATGTTTGTTTTTTT